AATGTTTTGAGAAATGATGTACAAATACGCTTTACACAATTGATGTGTGTATGGATTGGGATAACAGTTGTATGAGCCCCTAATAAAATGTTTAAAAAATAAAAATAAAGAAAAAAAAACAAAAACAATGTGTTCAGTAGCTGCAATTTTTAAACAAGAATGATAAAAAATAAAACAACTACTTGGAAAAATATAATTCAGATTTTCAGGAAATGGTACAAGTTGAACATTTAACAAGGAGGGAAGTTCTAAGCACCAGCTGCTCCAGAAGAGAAAGATGATGCTATCTGCTCCCATCGAGATTGACAACAGTGGGCGCCTTCTACAGGGAGACTAGGAGTAGGAAAGGGTCCCTGGTGGGATAGTGGATTACCCGCTGGGCTGCTAACCACAAGAACCAAGGGAGAGCGATGAAGCCGCTGCTCCTATGATGGAGATTTACAGTCTCAGAAACCAAAATGGGCAGTTTCACCTGTCCTCTCAGATCATTGCGACAGAATTGACTCAATGTCAGTGAGTTTTTTGAGTACAACGGTCTCGTTAAGCAAACATTCCTTTCAACCTGCTTTCATAATTGATTATTTTGCAATTATTAGCAGCCTGATGCAGATAATCCAGTGACTGGCAAAATTTTAAAACATTTTCTTAAAATTCATTTTTGATCTTATTTCATGGAACTACTACAACTGCCATCCTTTTAAATCACAAATGCAACATGTAACAAAATTTAAAGAAATGGATTATACTATATTCACCTGGAGAAAGGAAAGCTGCCTTCTGAATGGTCTTTAGAGCAATAGTTTTTCCATCATCGGCTAAACTGCTTCCCATGGACAACTGATTCACTGCTGTGTACAGTAGTGCCTTCTACATAAGACAAAGAAGTGTATAAACCAATCTCTTTATAGACACTCTTCTTTCAAAGTAATTAAAGTATGAAAGTACTTGATAATATGATGCAACCCATAAAGCCGTCAAAAAATTAATTCTAGTCTTCCATCCAGGTGAACACTCCTTTTGCACTCGGGCAAACTCACCTTTCCATGATTTGAGTCCAGTATATGAGCCACAAGTCCTGCTACAGCACCTCCCTATAATAGAAAATATTGATTATTTAGACAGTGGGAAAACAACTTCACTAATAAAAATTAAGACAGATAAAATATTTCCATTAGAGCAATTAAAAGACAGGTTTCACTACATTCACAACTTTCAAATTCCTTAATGATTTTATCACTACTCCATGGTATGAGTAGACCATGAGGATATTTGGGGGAAAGGAAATCGTTTCTTTTGTGATCTGCCTTCAACTGTATCTTTCTATGACACAAAGAGTCCCAAAGTGACATGATTTGATAATGGTATTAAATATATTTATGCATTTCCAACAAATAGAAATATGAACTGGAAGAAGAAAAGTATAAAAGACTAAGAGTGATCTGTACAAAAAGATAAACAAATACAAATTGTGAAAGTACATAGTATTAATAAAAATCATTATCGTTGTTGCATCAGTTCTGACTCATAGAAACCCCATGGACAATGCATCTAAACATTACCTAGTCCTGTGCCATGCTCATAATTGTTGTTATGTTTGATTTTATTGCTGCAAGTACTATTTTAATACATCCCATTAAGGGATTTTCCTTTTTCATTGATATTCTGCTTCCAAAGCATAATGTCCTGTCTAGAGACAGGTCCCTTCTGACTACGTGTCCCACAGTGAGCAAGACAAAGTATTGCCATCATCATTTCTGAGAAGTATTCTGGGTTACTTGTACCAAGACCAAATAGTTCATTTTTTGGCAGCCCATGGTACATTTAGTATTCTTCACTAGCGCCATAATGTAAATGCATCAATTCTTCTGCCTTATTCATTGTCCAGCTGCTTCTTTATTTTTTTTGTATTGTAATCTTTTTCCTTTTATTTTTCTAGAGGTTTGTGCTGTGATGAAGTTAGATTGTTTCTGGTCTTTTTGGCTGATTGTTTTGGGATGGCTTTTTTGTTTTGTTTTGTTTCTTTAAATACTTTTATTGGGGCTCTTCTCATCACGATTCATACATTCCTCCAGTGTGTCAAGCACATTTTCACATATGCCGCCACCATCATTTTCAAAGCATTCTCTTCCCACTTGAGCCCCTATTCTCAGCTCCCCATTTCTTCCCGCCCACACTCCCTCACGAACCCTTGATAAGCTATAGATTATTTTTTCCATATCTTACATTGTCCTCCGTCACCCCTTACCCACTTTTCTGTTACTCATCCCCCTGGGAGGGGGTTATAGATTGATCCTTGTGATTGATTCCCCCTCTCTCCCCCCACCATCCCTAATCATACTGGTATCTCCATTCTCCTTGTTGGCCCTGAGGGGTTTATCTATCCTGGATTCCCTGTGTTGCGGGCTCTTATCTGTAGCAGTGTGCATGTTCTGGTCTGATCCGATTTGTAAGGTAGAATTGAGGTCATGATAGTGGAGTGAAGGAAGCACCAAAGAACTAGAGGAAAGTTGTGTGTTTCGTCGGTACTATACTGCACCCTGACTGGCTCATCTCTTCCCTGTGAGCCCTCTGTGAGGGGATGTCCAATTGTCTACAGATGGGTATTGGGTCTCTACTCCATGCCGCTCCCCACATTCATCTTGGATATGGTTTTATTCTGGGTCTTAGACACCTGATACCTGATCCCATGGACATCTCATGATCACACAGGCTGGTGTGCTTCTTCCATGTGGACTTTGTTGCTTCTCAGCTAGATGGCCGCTCGTTCACCTTTAAGCCTTTAAGACCTCAGATGCTCTATCTTTTGATAGCCGGGCACCATCAGCTTTTTTCACCACATTTGCTTATGCACCCATTTTGTCTTCAGCAATTGTGTTGGGAAGGTATCATAAAATGCTGGATTATTAGAACAAAGTGTTCTTGTGTTAAGGGAGTACTTGAGTTGAGGCCCAATGTCTATCTACAACCTTAATGCTTAACATATAGATATGAGCACATAGTTCTATTCCCCTCTCGTTATACATATATATTTATATATGTACATGCCTGCATTTAGGCCTCTAAAATTGTCCTTTGCCTCCTGGTTCTTTGCTCTATTTCCTTGTTACTTCCCTCTTGTCCCACCATCATTTGGCCTTCATTCATGTTTGTAATTCCTCACTGCTACATTGCCCTTGATTGAGCCCCCCTAGGCATCCTATGACCTTCCTTCCATTGATTTTAGTTCACTTGTTGTTCCCTTGTCCCTGGGTTGGTCAAACCCCCTCCCCCCTTCTTTCTCCTATATCCCCCGGAACCATTGGTCCCATTATTTTCATCTCTGAATTCTTTATCCTGCCTATCTTATCTAAATATTCATGCAAATATATTAATGAGTGCAAAAACCAGGCAAAGCCAAATAAAACAACAAAGGAAGTCAAAACCAACAAAACAGTAACAATAGCAAAAAGAAAGCCACTGACAAAAATGGAAGAGCCTATCAATAGCTCAAGGTCTGTTTGTTGGCCTTTACAAGTGCTTTCCAGTCGAGTCTGATGGGGTGCCACACCTGTCTCCCAAGTCTATCTTTGGTATTCCCTGGGGGTTTCATCAGTCTGCTCCCCCTGCTGCTCTGCTGCATGCCCTCAGTGCCTTGCCCCAGCGCGATGGGGCCAGACTGTGCACTATTCCCACACTGTGTCTCCAGTGCTGTCCCCCGCAGCACCATGGTTCAGTGAGGAGTGTGCCATGTCCCATGGTGGGGCCGGCCCTACGGTCCTCTCCCTGTGTTGTCTTCTCCGAGTAGGAACATCATACTTGGGCCTAGGTGGGCCAGGATGTCCTCTCTTCCCTCTCCATCCCTTTGCGTCTCTCCCATGGGCCAGCTATTTTTAATGATATCTGAAGCGACTAAAAATACCAGGTTACGGCAAACACATTAATCCTCAAAGTGTTATCTTTCCTTTTTAATATTTTAAAGAGGTCTCTTGCAGCATATTTGCTCAGTGAAGTTCTTCATTTGATTTCTTGACTGCTGCTTCCTTGAACACTGATTGTGGATCCAAATAAAATGAAATCCCTGAAAACGTCAATCTTTTCTTTGTTTATCATGATCCTGCTTAGTGGTCCAATTGGGAGGATTTCTGTCTTATGTTGAGGTCTAATCCAAACTGAAGGCTAAAATCCTTGCTCTTCATCAGCAAGTGCCTCAGGTCCTCCTCACTTTCAGCAAGCAAAGTTATGCCATCTACCTATCACAAGTTGTTAATGAATCTTCCTCCAATCCTGATGCTACCTGCTTCACATGGTCCAGCTTCTTGGATTATTTGCTCAGCATATAAGTTGACTAAGTGTGGTGAGAGGTTACAACCCTGACACACAACTTATTTTAAACCATGTAGTATCCCTGTATTCTGTTCTAATGACTGTGTACAGGTTCCATATGAGCAGAACTACAAAAGAACAAACAATAACAACAACAAAACACTGTCATCGAGTCAATTCTGACTCATCCTAACCTTATAGGGCAGAGTAGAGCTGCCCATTTGGGCTTCCAAAGCTATACATCTTACGGGAGCAAAAAGCCTCATCTTTGTCCTGAGAACAGCTGATGGGTTTGAACTGTGGATAGCAGTTAGCAGCCCAGTCCATAATGCACCATGCCACCAGGGCTGGAAGGTCCATGACGTGACAGCACTTTCTTCCTGTTAGCGGATTCCGACACAGCGACTTGACAGGTCACACAAAAGCTGTTTCCTGCACTATTCCATATCTTTCCCTTAGAACCTTGAACCAACTCATTCAGTGAGAATACCTCAAAGTGTGGAATACACCTGGCTTCAAGAGTACTGTGTACCAGCAGCATCAGCCCTCTATGGAACACTGAAAAATGCAGATCAACAGGCCCCACGCCAGGTCTACTGAATTAGAATCTGAATTTTAACATGATTGCCAAATGATTTTATTTGCATACTGAAATTTAAGATCTAGTGGAAAAAATTTAAATTTTAATATATGCCTAAAAGCACTGAATAACTAACAAGTGCTTGCCAGGCCAAAATGGAAATGGAAAAGTGGATTCAGAAAGGGAAGCAAGTATGGAAGCTACTTCTGCCATTTGCAGATCAAGTTTCTTTATTTTTTTAAAATTTTATTTATTTTTATAATTATTTTATTGGGAGCTCTTGCCGGTATTATGACAATCCATAATTTAGTTAGATCAAGCATAATTTTATTCTTTTATATCAGCTCCCTTATTATTTGCCATACCTTACACCATCCAATGTATCCATTCACCTGCAATTCTGTTATCCATTCCCCTCAAGTGGGCTTATACAGTCACCATTGCTATTGGCTACCCCTCCCCCCCTTCCCATACCCTCATTACTCCTGTTACTGTTTCTGAAGGTTATCTATCTTGGCTTACATGCATCAAATGCTCTTAATTGTGCATATGAACATACACAGGTCTAAAAAGATTACTGAGGTAAAACAAAGACCATAATAGTAAGGGGAAGAAATATTAAAGAACTACAGGATAGTTATGTGTTCCATCAGTGCTATACCACTTCCAAAATACATCAACCCTTCCATTGGACCCTTCTGTGAGGGACTGTCCAATTATCTTACAGGTGGGTTTTGGGTCTCCACTTTGTCCACACTCCTACACATCAGTTTGATTGCTTGCTTTTGAACTTCTGGTACCTTTCCCTGTCGATACCTCATGATCACACAGGCTGGTATGCTGTTTCCATGTGGGCTTTAACTTCAAACCCTTAAGACCCCAGACACTATATCACTTAAAAGCAGGGTGCCACCAGCTTTCTTCACCACATTTGCTTATGCACCCATTTTGTCTTTGGCAACCATGTCAGGAAGGTGAGTATTATACAGTGCCACATTGTTAGAACATACTGTTCTTGCACTGAGGTAAGATTTAAGTAGGGGCCCAAAGTCCATCTGCTTCCCTGTTGTATTTACATATATACACGTATAGTGAATAGAAGCTTCATGGTGGTGTGGTGCAGTGGTAGTTCAAAACCACAAGCAGCTCCACGATAGACAGACTGGGCTTTCTACTCCCGTCAACAGTAACAGTATCAGAAACCCACATTGCTATGAATCAGCATTGACTGTGAGTTTGGGTTTTTCTTGAGTTGGGCAAGTTAACTGAAACTAAAGCCCAAGGTCTCATACGGGAAGAGTATGAAGGAAGCTCATCTCACAGTCAGTTGAGATCTTAAGAGGTTATCCCCTCAGATTTCATCTATACCCCAGATTAAAGGTGAGTGAGAAACCATACCTCAAATCACCCTGCAACCCGGCACATAGTAGCCCTGTTAGTCAAGAAACCTCCAACTTGAAACTGTGGTCCCTGATTACTGGAGGTCTAAAGTACCTGGCAGAGCCAACCATAAATTTTCTCTGTGGTAAGGTTCCTTAATTTTAGGTCTCAAATTATTCCTACAAGTAGATTTCAAGTATGCACACTGAAGTACATAAAGAAACAAAGCCATCACATGGGAGAACCAGTAGAAATAACAAACAACAGACAAAGACCCACTATGACTTCGGGTGGGAGACCCTGGGTGCTACAAACAGTTAAAGCGCTTAGTAGCTAAGCCAAGTGTTGGCACGTTACCCAGGTTACCTCATGACCAAAGCCTAGCAATGTGCTTCGGAAAAATCAGCACTGAAAATCCAACAAAGTACAGCTCTACTCTGACATGCATCGGGTTGCCATGGGACAGAACAGATGGAAATAAGGACACAGAAGACTTCTGACACTAGAATTAGCAGATTTATTAACTGTTCAAAACATAATAGCTATTACCATGATGCTGAATAAATGTTAGGTGAGCTATGAGAAAGCGTATTAGGCATGAGGTTGACAGAATACCTTATAGGCTCCTGAAAATACCTGGGTGATACAAACTACAGTACAAAATCTCTTTTATAGACCATCAGTGACTCTGTTTATATTTACATTTTTGACATTAGCAATGATCTGTTTATTAATGCCTTAAAGTTCAATGTCATTAAGTCAATTCCAACTCAGTGACCCTCAGAGTAGAACTGCTCCGTGAGGGTTTCTGAGACCATAAATCTCTAAGAGAGCAGACTCCCTCGTCTTTCTTCTATAGCGTGGCTAATTGGTTAGAGCAGTCAAGCCTGGAGCTACCGCTCAACATGTATATCCCAGTGCAGCAACCACCAGGGCTCTCTATATTCAAGAAGCTTTTAAATAAAATCATATTTGGGGATTGAAAAACATACTAAGGCTTATTATAAGGCAATATTACTACTATATACACTACTTCATGATGTAGCTGTCAACATAATCTACATGTTTTAAAAAAAACTCCACCTACTTCTTCGTCTCTTCTATAGCACCTAGAACAGTACAACAGTATACAGAGGCAACTCAGTGTACCACCTGTTGAGTGACTAACGGGAACTCGGGATCAGTATCAGAACTCTCCCATCCTATTCATTGTTTTCTAGAATGAACACTTACATTTATGTTATTTACCACAAGCTATTCAATCTTTTTACATGTTACTGATTTTGCCCAAATTGCTAATATTACTTACTTTTGCATTTCGCTGAGCATGCTGAGCAGTCACTCGGGACAACAGAGACCAAAGAGCAGGGTCGGCTGGGTTACTATGGGAACATCAAAAGCAGCAGGCTGAGGAATGGGGTCACTTTACCAAAAAAGACTATCAACAGCCAACATTTTATTTAGCACCTGAGTTTAAGAACTTCCAGACAGCTAAAACTATTTCATATTC